AAGGGTACCAAAATTATTAAACCCAGTGAGGAATAAACAACTAAAAAAGAAATTAATGTTATCCCAACCATGAACTAGGCGTGGTCGAGGGCAGTCTCCTGCGCCGGACGACTCCCCCAAGAAGCACGAGTCTCGGGGGCGAGGTGCCTCGCCCATGGCAGGCAAAGCTGGCATGCTGGGGCCGGTGGATAGTTTGAGGGGCCGCTCCAAGTCGCCTGCCCCAGATAGCCCGCCACCCAAGAATCTCGGCCTTGGCCCGGTGGACATGTTGAAAGGGAGAGCTCCCTCACCAGCAGCAGATAAGATGCCTTCGGGGGGGCTTCTCGGCCTGGGCCCGGTGGACAGCCTCCGTGGACGATCGCCGTCGCCCGCTCCTGAACTCGGGAAGTCGGGTGACAGCCGAGACAAAGACCGAGCCCGAGGGTTGTTGGGGCCCGTGGACAGCCTACGAGGTCGATCGAACTCCCCAGCTCCCGACCTTCCATCCAAGCCCCTGGGCTTGGGTGGCTTGGGTCCCGTGGACAGCTTGCGCGGCAGATCGCAGTCGCCAGCACCTCCCTCTCGAGGACCGAGGGGGGGAGGGGCTGAAGCTTTTGGGCGTCCGGGATGAGGCGCCGTAGTTCTCAAAGGAACCCCCAAAAAGGAGCAACCTCCATGTAGAGGGATGATGCCTGGGCAGCCAACCTAGCTCGGGCATGTAATTGGCGAAGATGACCCTTGTCACCCCCCCCCCCCCCACCTTTGCAGAATGCACCAAGCCTACTCAAACCCGACGCTTGAAGCATGGAAGCCTTTTTTGTTGACTGTTGTATTTCAGTAGGGCGATGGCCAGCTCTCTAAAAGTAGGGCCCTCTTTCCACCCCTACTGTGACAGGCCGATTCGTGCATAGGCATACCGGAGAAGAAGTCCTCGTTTCGAGGGCATGTGATCAGCACCAAGCTCATCGATTAACCCTAAGAACCTGAACCGGAGAGCCTACACCCCTAAACCCCGGAGCCCCTCAACCCCGCCCCTAGACCCTAAACCCAAATACCTAAACACCCTAAACCCTAAACCCTAAACCCTAAACTCTAAACCCTAAACCCTAAACCCTAAACCCTAAACCCCTAGCCCTAAACCCCCTGCAAGGAGGCTCCGGGGGTCGATTCGGTGCCTCCCCCTCACCCTCGCACCACGAGGCGGGTCTGGGGGTTTGGGGTTTGGGGTTTAGGGTTTTTTTGGTTTAGGGTAACTGCGTTACTAGAACACATGCCTCCCCGGCTCCCCCAAAACCTCATCGTAGCCCCCTCCCCCCCACGGGGTTTATGGGGAGGTGCGGGGGGGAAGAACGCGGAGTCTGGGTCCCTGTCCCTCTTCACGAGTCTTCTTTACGGGTCTTTATGCAAGTAGGGCTTAGGGGGGGGGGGGGGTTATTCGGGTTTTGGGATAGAAAGCTACTATTTGCTGAAGAATCCCCCAAAAAGCGAATACATTCATCCCTATATCACCCTTACAAGGACGAGTATTTATTTTGGAGGGGGGGTTAAGCAATTAGTAGAAAGGGGTTTGTCCGAGTTAGAGGAAGAGTAGGGCTTGGTCTCGGGAACCAGGCGTGGAGCCCTAAACCCTAAACCCTAAACCCTCAACCCTAAACCCTAAACCCTAAACCCTAAACCCTAAACCCTAAACCCTAAACCGTGCTCGCAGGACAGCTGGAGGGACGACCTGTCCTTTGCGGGCAGCGAGGATCCACTAGCTGCACAAGGATCGACACCCTAAACCCTCAGGCCCCAAGGCCCTAAACCCTGAACCCTAACCCTAAACCCTAATCCCTAAGCCCGCAACCCTAAACCCCTGATCCCTAAGGCCCTAAACACTACGGCCTAGACCGACGTTCCGGGTTGGGGAGGGTGATGATCGAACCTGTCAGTCGATGCTGGTAACAGAATAAAGCTTAGAGGTGGTTCATATCCTCCCTGATTGGTTTTAGGATTTCGGGTTTAGGGTTTAGGGTATTTGGGTTTGGGGGTAGGGTGCAGGGCTTTGGGGTGTAGGGTTTAGAACCTAGCAAGTCATCTATCCAGCATGAGACAGGATTCGTGGCCCTGAGCCCCTCCACGCCTTCAAGGCCGGGCCTCCTGTACCTAATACACGCGACACCCCACACCACAAGTCAACAATACGATTGCAGAATAATGCAACAAAGTTATTTTGCAGTAATACAACAACATACTTGTACAATAAAGTATTCATACAGTAATGTAACATAATATGTTTGAATATAATGCAATCATAGCAGAATACAAAAATGTATTAGTCGCAGAGTAATATGATAGTGCAATCATATAGAAAGTAGTACAGGAATACAATCATACAATATTAGATGCAAAATACAGGAATCTCATAACACCTAGATCCTAAACCCTGAACCCCAAACCCTACAATGTGATTGCCCCCCCCCCCCCCCCCACCCTAAACCCAAACCCTAAACCCAAAACCCAAAACCCTAAACCCTAAAACCCTCAACCCTATAATGCGATCGCCCCCTGTGGAAGAAAGGCATGGAGTCGCCGACTCGTTTGGGAGCCGATCCTTCGACAGCCCCAAGACAATGCGATCAGGCCAAGATGGAGTCTTGAGGGTGGGTGTAGGGTTTAGGGTTTAGGGTTTAGGGTTTAGGGCTTAGGGCTTAGGGCTTAGGGCTTAGGGCGTAGGGCTTAGGGCTTAGGGCTTAGGGCTTAGGGCTTAGGGCTTAGGGCTTAGGGCTTAAGGCTTAGGGCTTAGGGCTTAGGGCTTAGGGCTTAGGGTTTAGGGTTTAGGGTTTAGGGTTTGGGGAGTACTGAATGCTGGGCACGTAGCTCATCCGCAGAGGAGCCAGCGACCCACGGAGCCCGGCCAGGATCTCAGAGTTTTTTCCCGTGCCGATCCTTTGTGGTACTTTACCGAAACTTTAGATCCATACCCTTTTTGGGTTCATTGGGTTTCTTAATAAGGCAGCTAAAAGTTTAATTTATAGCTACCCTCCTGAGTGCAGCCAAGGATCATGTCCTCAGTACAGCAAAGTAAAAAGTTGGAACATCCTTATCCCCACACCCCAAAAGAGGTACACTAAAGGGAATCCCGGCTCTGCTCATCCTTCCGGCATGTTCCGACTTTCTGGAGTTTACTGTGCGTTGTAGGCCTGTCGGGAGCGTTCAGCGTTCAGGGTTTAGGGTTAAGGGCTGTTTAGAGTTTAGAGTACAGGGCTTAACCCAAACCCAGACCTCCAAACAAGCCGTCTGCTCTAAGAAATATTCAACATAGCCCTAGGACATACCCCTTAAAGAAACTAAGGGGCGTGGTAAAGTTCTCCCTTAGACTCCCTAATCGTATCCTTTCATACAGGTTCCCTAAAGCCTAAACCCTAAACCCTAAACCCTAAACCCAAAACCCAAAACCCTAAAGGGGTATGGGCTTGCGGTATGGCAAACTTTTCTGAGATCTGCTGAAAGCCAGGTGGCAGCGCACGGAAGGTCGCTGGCACCCTTGTCAGGCAGTGATCAGACTCCTATGCTGAGTCGTCTGTTTGCCCTATGAGGGTTTAGGGTTCAGGGTTCAGGGTTTAGGGTTTGGGGTTTAGGGTTTGGGGTTTGGGGTTTGGGGTTTGGGGTTTAGGGTTTAGGGTTTAGGGGGGAGAGGTCGGAGGGGAGGTCCTACTCTGAGGTCCTACTGTGAAGAGAGTAAGTGCCCTGCAGGTTTGTTGGCTCCAAAGCCGAACCCTGAAACCCTATACTTGGGATGTTGCCCCTTAAACTAACAGTCCTGAATAGGGATTATCGTGGGGGATACTATAATCCCTATTAAGGACGGTTGGTATAGTGGGAACATCCCAACCCTAAACCCTTGTTGCATACAACCCAGAACCCTGTCTTCGAGTGGTATAGAGGCCGTGCAGACCCAAGCAAAGCGGCATGGCTGGACCACTCCGAACGATTGCCAACAGTATCCCCTCATAAGCCCTGAATCAAATAAATGGTCACTTCTCAAAATTCTGGTCCCTTTTTGGGTGCCTTGAATGTTAGGGGCCACCCTAATAGTAACCCCCAAAACGGACCCCATAACTTAGAGAAGTGACCAAATCAAGTATCCGCCGCATCTTCTAATTTTACAGGCCCCTGAACGTTCAACACAAGGCCCTTAACCCTAAAGCCCTTCATCCCTAAGCCCTGAAACCCCATACATTTAAAACCCCTAAACCCGAAAACCCCTGAATCCCAGAATCCAAGATTCCCTGAACCCTAAAGCCCCTGAATCCCAAACTCTAAATCAAAACCCTTAGTAGCCCAAACCACAAAACCCCGAAATCCCAAAAGCCCTAAAACCCCAAGAGCCCTGAAGGCCCTGAAGGCCCTGAAGGCCCCTAAACCCTGAAACCCCAAAATGCCAAACACGACTCACGAGCTCCAAGCGCAGGGGGCCTCGGCGGCTCATCGCCGACTGGCCCGGAGGCATGCCTCTTCGACCTGTAACCCTAATGTTTTAGTTTAGGGTTTAGGGTTTAGGGTTTAGGGTTTAGGGTTTAGGGTTTAAGGTTTAGGGTTTAGGGTTTAGGGTTTAGGGTTTAGGGTTTAGGGTTGAGGGTTGAGGGTTTAATTAGGTTTAGGGTTTAGGGTTTAGGGGTTCACTAGGGCCCAGAGTAGGCCCTTATTCCCTTGTAGGGGTTTGGGTTCCCTGAAAAAGCCCCTTTAAACCAAAAAGGGCACCCTTTTTACTCCTAGGTTACTCCTGGGTTTAGGGTTTAGGGTTTAGGTTTAGGGTTTGGGGTTTAGGGTTTGTATTTTATATTCGGACCTCCTTGCCACTTTTGCCTTCATGTATGTTGCACCTATCGCACTCAAGCCCTCTGAGACAAAAAGGTAGAAGTGCGCCTGTGTTTCATGGCTTAACGGATTGCATTGGTGGATTCCCCAAACTATAGGTTATCAGCCGTAGGCTCTACTGAGTCTGCGGCGCCTCTGGTTACTCTGGCAAACACTGGTGTATGGGAGACAGCCCCGAGCTGGTTCCCACCGAAGTGGCAACCGATCTGGAATCTGACGACATGCTTCTACCTCAGACTGCTTCTGAGCAAGTTGTTACGAACGGTGCTCTGGAAGAGGGCGCAGCAGGCACTAATGTGTTTGAGCCAAACGCCCGAACTCCTTTTGCGGCCGTACCGTTCGCACCACAGTTGCATATGTATCGACAGAATTTCCAGCAAAACATCATGGTCGGTGAATCTCCGGAACAAACCAGATCGCTTCTCGGTGAACTTGAAACTGAAGCAGAAAACAGGCACCAGAGGTTCCGCCAGGCTGCCGAATACGCTCATGATCAAAGAATCGCTAATGTTGAAGAACGAGCAAATCGACAGCATGAGGAGATCGTTGCACAGCTCGAATCCGAGATTGCCACACAACGATATCAGTTTATCGAAGCCAATCATCATCTCGTGTCAGAGCTGCGACAACAACACCAAGTCATCGCTTTCCAAACGGAACATTTTTCCAGCGTTAGTTCGCAGATCACGCAACTTCGAACAACTTTAATCGAAGAAGCAGAGGAGAACAAAACACAAACCCTCAGTGAGGTGGGAGAGTGGTTTGGTAGGGAACATGATCAAGCAATGCAGCAGTATAGGTTGCTTGCCCGCGAGAGTGAAGAGGAAATGAGGCGTCAGAATGATATTCTTCAGGACGAACTCTCCTCAGCTGAGCGTGCGCTCAAACTCGAGCAGGACAGGAATGCTTCTCAGGACACCGCGTCCCAAGCTCAGTTCCCTCCGGCCGTGACCCCAGCAACGGTACCGCAAAGTGCCGGCCTTAATGTGCCGACAGCTCCTCAGTTTTCATCGCCAAGCGTGATCCCGCTCAGCCTAAGAGCAATGTTTTCCGGTTTTGGTGGTGCGGCAACTACTGCCACACCAGCGGGGCCACAAGCTCCAACACAAGCCCCGGGAACCCCCGTGCCCCCGACTGGCTTAGGTGGAGGAGTGTCTGGTCTCGCGGCCCCAATGGGCACGCCGGCTAGTCCGGCAGCCACTGGAGTTGATTTAATCGCACAGACGCAACAAGCGTTGCTGGAAGCCGCCAAACTCCTCAAGGGAGACAAAGGCGGCGAAGATGACAAGCCAAAGGTCAAAGAGGCTGAGAACATCCGTTTGCCGGACTTCCCCAACCCCGAAACGTATCGTGCGTGGAAAACAGCAACTCGGGAAGCGGTTAGGGCAGCCTCAGACAGACCAGACGAAGCTTTCTCTTGGATTTTAGAGGTTTACGCGAAGGATGCTGATCATGACAAGCTCCGTGAACCAGGGAAGTTCCTCACGCTGGATACCAAAATCCTAGCCGCGCTTACCAAGGTCGCCAAGGGAGAGTTATCTCGACAGGTGCTCACCTTCAAGGAAACTGAGGCGGTCCATGGACGTGCGGTACGAGGACGCCAGGTATTGCTTATGTTTGATCAGTACTTCAAAACCAATGAAGAAGTAGGGTCGCTCTATTCAGTAGAAGACCTTTTGAAGGTCACGCTGCATAGTGACGATTTGACTACGTTTCTGCATAGTTGGGAGTCAGTCATCGCCGGTATGAGTCATGTCCCAGAAGAAATGGTTCTGCGTGACATCCTTCTCCGCCAAATCCGCAAGTCCTCAAGAATGAAATATGACTTGGAGATCTATGATAGGGCCAAGGAAGGTTCCGCTTCACACTCCTACGCGTTCTTGTTGAAGTCCATACGGGATTTGCTGACCCGTGAAAGGATGCGCAAGAATAGGGATAGGATCGCTAAGTCGCATGGGGACAAGTTTGGAGCTTCCGTACTTGAAGGCGGAAGGCCGCAACGCCCTCCGTCAAGGAGCGGCCGGGGAAGGGATCGCTCTGCCGGTAGCCAATCCAACTCGAAGTCAAGGTCTCGCTCAAGGACCCCGTCCAGGTCTAGGTCACCTAGTCGCTCACCAAGCCCGAAGCCAGTTTGCTATGACTTTCAAAAGGGTAAGTGCACCAGGGGTGACAAGCGCAAGTTCTCGCACAAACCACGCTCGCAGTCACCTGTTCGCACCGCCCCGAAGAAGAAACAGGTATGTACCTTTTGGAAAAAGGGCAAGTGTACTAGGGGAGATAAGTGTCGTTTCTTGCATAGGGAACCAAGCCCTGCTCCCACAGGTGGTGAAAATGCAGCCCCGGCTCCTAAGGACCCAGACAAACCAAGGTCTCCGTCGCCTGCGCCAACGCGCAGAAAGCCAAGCCGTGGTCGCTCTAAGGCAAAGGACAGGAAGGCAGCATGCTGCATCTCGATTGCGGCTGCAGCCTTAACCCATCCTGATGGAGGCGACCCACAAGATGGAGAGAGGGATTACTGGGAGGTGGATTTCAAAAGGGGTGAAGCTATCAGACATCACCTGAAGTACAGAAGTACAATGTACAAGCCCGAAGTGTCGTGTCCTGTTGCTCTTGAGAAGTTGAAGGGTAAAGCCAAGGTGATCAAGACTCTTCCCATTGCTCCCTACATGGCAAGGGAGAGTTGGGATTGGAAAGGGGGAAAAGGGGAGACGAACGACAAGACGCCATGGACTGGCAAGACTGTGTTCAAAATCAAAGAACAAAACAAGAAGGTCAAGTTTTGTGAAAAGCCCAAAGTCAGGGAAATTCCTTTTGAAGGGAAGGGGTACAAGCATTCCTACAAAGTTCGCAGGTACAACACTTGCTATGCTGATGCGGAAAATTGCCCCAAACCTGACAACAATGACCTTCAGGTTGCAATTAGGAACGCAAGGGAACTCACTATGCTCCTTGCCCGGCATGAGGGGGGAGAGAGAACCGACTGCCGTTTAGAATGTGATGAGCCTGATTCTCTCACGTGTGGGATGTGCAAGCACGTCGTTGAGAGCTCAGAGATCGCCTGTCCAGGAATCGCCACGCCCTTAGAATTCCTTGCTGACACGGGGAGCGAGGAGGACCTCATCAGCGAAGCTGATCGTGCTATGTACTTTGGCGAAGAGCCGATAGGCAATGCAACTCGACAAGTAAACCTCATCACTGCTAACGGAAATGTCAAGGGTGACAAATCGGTCAGGGTCGACTTCCCGGAGTTTGGCAAAGAGCTAGAGTTCTACGTTCTCGCAAGTACTCCTCCTGTTTGCTCTGTTGGAAGAAGGTGTATGGAGGACGGTTATGAGTTCCATTGGTACCCCAAAAAGCCGCCTTACTTCGTTGCGCCCGTGTAGAATGAGAGGTATGGTGCCTGTCCTTGGGGGAGGAGCAATGGCCGCCCCAAGTACCAACGAAGAAGCCTCAGGATCTCTCGGACGGCCAATTCTGTCCGAGGGTTTTCAGAAAACTGCCGCCCAATAGGGCTGGCCGGGGCTTTCGCAGGAGCAGCAGAGGAACGAGATCCAGTGATCGAGCACCCCGATCCTGAGATCTCAGTAGCCATAAATGAGGTGCCGCCAATAGACATTCCCAAAGAAAAGCTCAAAAGACCAGGTTGGGTTTCGCACCCAAACGCAAAGTACTTACTTGTCGGACACAAACCAAAGACGTTTCGCACTGCCGCACCAAGGTTTCCGAAATGCGAAATCAGATCTACTTGGTTGTTCAGGGAAGGTTCTTGGGTCAAGGTTGAAGATCGAGTGAATGTTAGGGAGCTGGACAACAAAGCCGCCAAACTGGAGGGTAATCCTGTCCTTAGCCTCACACTCTTCGAAGACCCCGAAGCTGAGCCTGATAGTGACAACGAAGGAAACGCCCGCAGTCTTGCGGAGGCCGATCTGAGAGCTGAAGCCAAATCGGTTGAACACCTGTTCTCGCACAGACCCAAAAACCCGTTCTGTGAGGTATGTCAGCGCGCCAAGATGTTGGCCCCTCAAGCCCGCAAAAAGGGGGGCTCAAGCACCATTGTGTCTAAGGCCTTTGGGGACCACATCGCTGTTGACCATATCATCACTCGTGACCTCCGTGATCATGGGTTCCAGGACGAAAGGGTCGCACTGGTTGTTAAAGACGTGTTCACCAAATTCCGTTACGTCTACCCTTCTCCGACTAAGTCAAGCGATCAGTGTTACGAAGACCTGCTTCATTTCCTAGGTCAAGAAGACACCGTTGGGGTTTTCTACTCCGACAACGCACCTGAACTTCATGCAGCTATCAAAAGCCTGGGTGTTCGACATGTTACATCACGTGAATATGTGGACACCAACAAGTCGGTAATCGAAAGAGAGATTCGCACGATTCTGGAAGGGACACGTTCCAACCTTGTTCAGGCGGGTCTCCCCGACAAGCTCTGGCCGTTGGCCGCCCAACACCACGCAATGGCCCTCAACGCAACTAAGAGGCTTGACAATGGAATTGTTCCCTGGGAGGCCAGGTATGGGGAATCCTTTTGAGGGTTAATGATTCCTTTTGGTGCACGTGTGTTGTACTGGAACAACCCCAAACAGAACGTTCCTGCGGACTCTAAGTTTGCGCCGACTGGTGTTGAGGGAATCTTTCTTGGATATCACATTCAGCCTGGCTTCATTTGGAAGGAGGAATATCTTGTCACTCCTGTCAAGGGCTGCGATTTTGCGTTCGAGATTGGAAACTTCCCCATTCTGAGGTCCAAGAGGATGGAGTTGTTGCCTGGGGACTTTACGTTCCCAATGAGGTCGGGGCAGCTTGCACTGCAGGAGAGCCTCCGCAAGCCGGCCCTCTCAGATCAGGACTGTTCGTGGGACAGAACGGAAAGTACTCAACCACGCGCCCCATCTGGGGAAACGCCGGGCGGGTCTTCGCCATCGCCCGGTGCACCTAATCTGGACGACTCCGATTTGAAGGAACGTCTGTCCGAGTACTTAGACCAAGTGGCTAAGGAAAACGAGGACTACGTTCCTGAAGACGTCGGAGCTGAGGAGGACTGGTTGGGGAGGGACATTCCTGAATCTTCTAAGGCTGCAACAACTGAGCCCAAGGCCTCCTCCACCTTACCGAGACATGACCCTAAGACCATGCCCGATGGGAGGAAAGTCCCCAAAGGGTACAACTGGGATGGGGTTAGATTGGTCAGGGATAAGAAGGGTTCCAAGAGGCCCCCCGATACTCCTTCGGAATTCTGGCACATGTATTCCAAGGCACAACGGGAGGCTGACATTGAAAGGTATGAACGCAAAACGGCCCGTGAAGCTGAGGAAGACGCTCGCAAGGCCCTCAGAGACTCCCCGGCTATGCCTGTCGTCACTGAACCTGACCCTGAGCCCCATAGAGAGCGCATGGCGTCCTTGTATTGGGAGAAGCTTGGTCAGGTTACGGGTGAGATGTTTGCCTTGGTTGCCAGGGTTGTCGGGCCTAAAGAGATTGAGAGTACTCCCGCAGCAAAAGAAGCTATGGATCGCGAGTGGAAGAAACTTGCTGACAAGTCTTGCTGGCTCGAGAAGCAAGTTCGGGAGTACCGTGACGTGGCGGCGGAAGCCAAGCATAAGAATGTCAAGGCCCATTTCGGGAAGATCTTTGAGATTTGTTCGGTCAAAGGGGACGAGCTCCCGGATGGACATCCCCAAAAGAAATGGAAGGGTCGTAGTGTTTTTCAAGGCAACAATGTGCAGGATGAAAACCACGACCACGCCATTTTTGCCGAGCTAGGATCAAGCCCCGCTAGTATGGAGGCCGGTAAGATAATCGATATGTTTGGCAGCCAGCCCGGGTACGTGAAACAGCAAGCTGATGGTATTGCTGCATACACACAAGCCCTTTTCAAAGGAATTGAAACGTGGGTTCGTCTTCCCCGAAACAGATGGCCAAAAGAGTGGTCAGGGTATGAGGATCCTGTTTGTCCCCTCCGGCTTGCTTTGTACGGGCACCCTGACTCAGGCGGTATCTGGGAGCGGTACTGTGCTGAGCAACTGGAGAGTATAGGATTTACTGCCGTTTTACCAGACATTTGGCACTCTGTTTTCTATCATGCTGAATTAGATTTGCTGCTTGTTGTGTACGTTGATGACTTCAAGATGGCCGGTCCTCAGGACAAAATTTCCAAGGGTTGGGAGTTAATCGCTAAGGTGATTGACATGGAACCAGCCGAAGTCTTGGGGCGGTACTTCGGATGCCATCACGTCGAGCAGAATCAGGTTCAGTTGTCCCGGGAGGACCGCCCGTTTGCCTACGTCTTCGACAAGAAGTACGCTAGCCCAGCTGCCGACTATCAAGTCCGGCCGAACCGCAAAGAGGATTTTTGGGAGGTCGACGCTGAGCTAGCTGCAGTCGTTAGACGCCACATCTATCCCCGTAGGAAACTTTACGTGCCCACGCAGGATGATGTGCTGAAATTTCCCCACATAGGCTGTCAACGAATCACGGTGTTTGATGATGGTAGGGACCCTATCCATGATGACTTGAATCAGGGGGGCCCCGCAAACCAATCAGGTTGGTGGACAGGGAAAACATACTTCCCTATTGCTGAGGTCAGTGGCGAGGACTTCTCTCACGCTCTCGCAGCGAAGCGTAATAAACCTAAAAGGTCAAAAGCCGAAGCTAAGCGAGAAGCTCGTCAGAGTAAGTTCAAGAGCACTGAATCAATCAGTCAAGGGAAGATCCCATCCATGACCACGCCCGTGAATGTTGTATATTACGATATGCGAGATTTCTTGGTGTCATGCGTTGATAGGTACTGCGAGTTGGCCAAGGTTGACAAGAAGTCCCTCAAGCCAGTGGCAACTCCCTTTCATGAAAACCGGATTGCGAAGATCCTTGAAAGCAACGAACCTACCGGTAAGCTGCAATCGATTGCTAGCCGAGTACTCATGAAAGTTTTGTTTGCTGCGAGAATGGCTAGGTGGGATCTGTTACGTGCCACTCAGGCCTTAGCGTCCAGAGTCACCAAGTGGTCTCGTGACTGCGACGTCGCTCTACATCGGTTGATCAGCTACATAAACTCTTCACTTGAAGTTCGGATGAGAGGTTTCATTGGAGATCGGGTTCAAGATTGTAAGTTGTGGATGTTCTGCGATGCTGACCACGCTGGCAGTCATGACAGCAAATCTACATCCGGTTGCGCCCTCTACTTGGTGGGCCCCAACACTTACTTTCCCCTAAATGCCTTTTCCAAGAAACAGACAAGCATCACCACTTCGAGCACTGAGAGTGAGGTTGTGGCTGCAAACCAAGGTATTCGCGCTCAGGGCCTGCCCAGCCTCAGTCTTTGGATTTTCCTATGGCGTGAGGTTGCAGGCAGGACCGCCAGCTATCAAGCTAGGCCGAAAACCAACACCAACAAAAGGGAGAGTGACATCATCGCACGAATTGATCCCGAACTCGATGAGATCCGTTACGGTGAGTGCAGGGCGGATGGACGAAGTGTCGCCGACTTGAACGGCCTCAAGGTACATCTTAGCCCCAAGTTTGCTGTTCAACTCCTTGAGGATAACCAGGCCACTATTACCATCCTCCTTAAAGGTGACAGCGAAAAGCTACGTCACACCGACCGGACTCAACGCATCTCTTTTGCGTGGATCAAACAACAATTCGAACGTAACCTTTTCGACATGATCAATGTCGACACCACCGAACAAGTAGCTGATATCTTTACCAAGCCTTTCGCTGACCGAGGCAAATGGGAGCATGCACTAAGGCTTATCGCGCACGTCGATGTCCCTCTTCAGGGGGGAGGAAAGTCAAAGGTCCACGAGTCCGATGCTCATCTCATCAACAAGCCCGCCGTTCACGCTCACCCTGTGGTGCAGCCGGTGAACGACCCTTGTGCGATCGCAGAAGAGCTTAACAAGGAACGCGACTTTAGTACTAAGGCTTTGTTGCGTGTGGCCCAAGTCATGTATCCCAATAAAACCAAGCGAAAGATGATTAAGCTTGATAATCGCAGCTACTATCACATCTTTGGGCAATGGACTTACGGGGGCATGCAAGGGGTGACTAAGGCAACCCGCCGGTGGCCTCAGATTGCCCGATTCCTAAACGGCGTAGTGCAAGCACATGCTCCGAAAGACTTCACCTGGAACTCCGTGTTGCTCAGCAGCAGCACTGGTGCCTCTGTGCACAAGGACCATGGGAATGCTAAGGATAGCATGAGCTTCGCACTCAGTGTTGGGGAGTTTAAAGGTGGAGAGTTGTGGTTGGAGGACCCTAGTGTTTCATCTGATAGTGCCATTGTCAGAGTTGGCCCCAACGGCAAGCACCTTAAAGGACGTGCTGTGTCCACACACAACAAAGCTCTCGTCTTTAACCCCCGAAACTTGCACTG